TAATAATAAAATAATTTATTTTTGGTTTAATATTATAAATTTTATAAAGATAATAATTAAGTATTCTGTTAGAATTTATTTATTATACTAATTATATTTAAGATTTTTTATATTTAAAATGAGATGTTTATCCTGTATTTGATTGTGTTTATCTGCAGTTAGTTACATGAATTCAGATATGGGATGAAATCGGATAGGAACGAAATCGTTTAGGGATGAACGAATTTAAGAGTTTTTAAGAGTTTTAACCAAATGCTTTATAAGATAGTATAGATAAAAACTAATCTGGTATGTGAATTTAAGGATTTTTTTTTTCTCTCAAATTCTTTATAAAAAAAAGAGAGGAGAGACCACGATGTGTCTCTTTCAAAACCCAAAATAAATGTCTCTCTGAAAACCCTTATTATTTGACATAAATATTGAATCTTTCAAAAACAAATCTTTTAAGTTTTTTTTTATTAATATGGATATCCAATTCGTTATGCGATTCGACTAATCTTTGAGTGACCATCTGTTTTACGGGTAGCCCGGAGTCACCGCATTTGAACCTTCGTGGTCACAAGAGAATTTTTATTCCTCCTTCGATTTGAACCTGAGATCTCCACACTTTTGACCTTTGAAGCCAAACTCAAACCAACCAGACACCATTCTTATGGTTCAAATCTTTAAATTTGCTAACCGATTCTTTGGCTATTTTCTCATATATGTTCAAATAATTTGGTGAATTTTTGTTGTAAAAACAGCTCTTTTCATGATTTTCCCAACCCCCAAAATACCGATAAAAAATCGTAAAAATAATTACGGAACCTGATTGGATCAATCAATAGATGATCAATCGAGTGATTCAGTTGTTCAAACGTCCAAAATGGCTAATTTCATCAATGACCAACCAAACGACTCGATTGTTCAATCGACCGAAAACGACTTAATTTCTTGCCTTAAACAAGTGACGAGTTTTGGTGGACTAAAATCTTACCTGGTAAGTAAATAATAGTGTTAAATTTTACCGGCAAGCACTTATTGGATAAGTGTTGGGTAAACGACCCCTTAATCAATCTCGAGTTAAAACTTATAAAGCTTGAACTTTAGGTATCATGTATAAAAAAGTTATTCGAACCGTAACCTCAAATTTGTTAAATAAACAACGAAAACGCATTCAAGCTCTTGAAAACGTTATTCAAACTCTAACCGAGCATTTTTCAAGAATCGAGTTCGAATAACCTGCTACTGTTCCGACCCAAAAGACATAAACATATATTCCTTCAAAAATTAAGAAAAAAACCATACATCAAAAAGACAAATCTCAAAAACCATTTGTCATATAAAACTGTAAATACTAAAATTATTCATAAGATTCCATAAAGATTCATAAAACCCCCCAAATTCACCTAAAAAAACACATAGAATTCTACCACAAGATCAAGATCAAGATCAAGATCAAGAAATCTTTTGAGTTCTTACCCACAAAAAAAGATCAAATCTTTCCAACTAAACTGGAACTTTTCCATCTTGTTGTTCAAAATTTATGTCCAAATCCTTGCCATTTTGGTCTTTGGATCCTTGAAGCCAACCCCCGTCGATCAAATCGATGTCACCGTTCAATCCGTCGTCGACGAAATCACCGACCCTTTTCACGATCCCGCTCGGCAACACCGGATACTTTCCGGAGAAACAAGCGTAACAAAAGTTGGGTGAATCGGCCGCCAACATCTTCTTCAAGCTATTGAAATCAAGAAACGCAAGCGAATCCGACCCGATGTATTCCCGAATCTCCTCGACGCTCATCCTGTTCGATATCAACTCCTCGGAGCTCGGCGTATCGACGCCGTAGTAACACGACGCGATGATCGGTGGGCTCGCGATTCGCATATGGACTTCTTTAGCTCCAGCCTCTTTCAACAATCGGACTATTTTCGAAGAAGTGGTTCCTCTAACGATCGAATCATCAACCACCACCACACGCTTCCCTTCCAAAACCGCACGAACGGGCGAAAGCTTAAGCTTAACTCCAAAATCACGAATTCTCTGCGAGGGTTCAATAAACGTCCTTCCAACATAATGCGATCGAATCAACCCTTGTTGAAAGGGAACACCGGCTTTATTCGCATACCCAATCGCTGCCACTACACCAGAATCCGGAACAGCGATCACCACATCACAATCCACCGGGGACTCGGTTGCCAGAATCTCACCGAATATCCTCCGAGATTCGTACACAGACTTCCCGAAAACAACCGAATTCGGTAATGAAAAGTAAATGTGTTCAAAGATACAAGATTTCGGTTCTGGGTGTTGCATCAAACACAGAGATTGAACACCATCGCTATCAATGATCAAAACTTCACCAGGATTCACTTCTCTTTCGTATGTAGCTTCGATTAGATCAAGAGCACAAGTTTCAGAAGCGAAAACAATGGCGCCATTGCTTCTTCTTCCCATCACCAATGGCCGAAACCCATATGGGTCTCGAACTGCAACTAATTTATCTTCAGTTAAGAACACCATTGAATAAGCTCCTTTAAGCTTTTCACAAGCTTCAACGATTCTCAAGAAGAAGGGTCTTTGTTTAGATATAGCAATTAGATGTAAAACAACTTCAGTATCAGAACTCGTACCAAAAATGGAACCATTTTCTTCGAGTTGAGCTCTTAAAGATTGATAATTTACCAGATTTCCGTTATGGGCGACACCCACGCGACCAAATCGGTAACCGGCGACGAATGGTTGGACGTTTTTTAGCATGGATTGGCCGGCGGTGGAGTAACGGACGTGGCCGATGGCGTTATCGCCGGGGAGTTGGTCGAGTTTTGACTGGTTGAAGACTTCGGAGACGAGGCCGACGCCGGTGACGGATTTGAGAACGCCGTCAGGAGTTGCGACGACGATTCCGGCGCCTTCTTGGCCGCGATGTTGGAGGGCGTGGAGGGCGAGGTAGCAGAGACGGGAGGCTTCTGGGTCGCCGTAGATTCCGACGACGCCGCACTCTTCACGGGGTTTATCGTCGCCGTCGTCGTAAAAGATGGAGTTTTCTTCATCTGGGTAGGATTCCGGCGATGCAATGACGTCGGAGATTGGGTTTTTTGCGGCGGTTTTTGAATGGATTTTGTGGGTGAGGGTGAAAGATTGGGTTTTGTGGAGGGTTTTGAAGGAGGCGAAAGAGGGTTTGTCGACGGATTTAGAGAGCGGAGAGAGGTGGGTAACAGAGGTCGCCGTGGCGGTGGCGGTTGCGGCGGATGTCGCGGCGGCGGCCATGGCTGAAGTTGAGAGGAGAATGGTGGTGGTGTGGGCTATGAATAGCCGAAGTGGAAGGGCTAGGTTTTGGGGGTTTTATGAATCGAGATTGAGTAAAGTGACAGGTGGTGAGATTGTTACGTGACTGACGTCTAATTTATATTGAGTCTATGTGGGCCCCACATTCTGTTAACTTTTTTATTAACTTATTCTGTATATATCTTGTTAACGAACTTTCATAAAAATAAATATTTTAAATTTATTTTTATTTTTAAATAATATATTTTCTTTTAAGTAATTTAATAATATATTTTACGGATTTTATGGAAATAGAATAAAAAATATATTTTTTATTATTGGGAGTTATATTTGAGAATATAACTGATAAAATAAAGTACTGGTTTATATTTGTAACGATATCAGGACTGCGATTGATTTTTTGCCATCTCTATCTGATGTTTTTTTTTTCCATTTATCATATATTTATACTGTATTATAAAGCATTTGGGATAGACTTTTAAAAACTATCTTTATGTATTAACTATAATTTAATGATGTATATTGCTTAAAATTCAAGATTACAAGTAAATAGTGTATGGGTACAACTTTTAAAGTTGCATACTTGATAAACATTGATCTCATTTTAAATATAAATACTTTAAAATATGATTAAGATAATCATTGAGTTATAACAAGTTACTTGATAATTATTTTTATAAAAAAATATATATTATATTATATATTTGTGATTTTAGACTAGAAATGGCTAAAAGATGAAACCAACAATTGAAAATGGTTATTTTTAATTAAAACTTTCTATTTTTGTTCTAACTGTTTTTTAACTGTTTTTTAAGTATATAATATTTTTGTTCTAACTGTTTTTTAAGTGTTTTGAAGAGATCAATAATATTTTATTAAATGTATTGAATATTTTAATAATACAGTTGGTGATACGCTTTCTAAAATAGAATAGCTGCTAAAAGTCATATATAATTTTTTAAGGATTTTAATTTTTGATGCTCTATTTTTTTATAAAAAATTATATCATATTTATCGAAGATAATACGAATTGTCTTGATGTTCAATTTTTTTATCTGATCTTCAAATCAAAGAAAGAAGATTACAAATTTTTATAAATCAGTACATTTTTTGTTTATAAGAAACTTTTATTGGAGACGTTCTGAATTAATTATCGGTTGAAAATATTTAATAATTAAAATTGTATTTGAAAAAGTAATTAAATAAATTCGTTTTTTATTAATAAATAAATGTTAGTTACCAAATTTAGTATTTAGTTTTGATAAAATAAAGGCAACAAGGTCTATTTAAGGAAATAAAATTTAATAGTATTTTATAATTATTATTTTAAGGAGTGTGACATGAAATATGGAAATTCAATAAATCCTTAAATTTATATTGATTTGGAAATTATATTCTAACAATAATAAGTTCCATATATTGATTTGGAAAATTAATACATAATGGTTGGCCAACCTTTTATTTTATTATCTAGATAGTCTTCTTATATATATATATATATATATATATATATATATATATATATATATATACTAGAAGGGTATTCCCGCAATGTAACGAGATTCATCTTGATTTTAATATTTTATTTTATTCTTTATCTCAGTCGATGTTATAATATGGTTTTATGTGATTTTGAAAAAACGATTATGTTTTTATTTTTGAACAAAATATAAATTTGAAAATATCATAAAAACTTGACAAAAATATATCGATATTAATATCAAATTAATTATTTAAAATTTCTATTTTTTATGTAATTTTTTAATTTATTTTTTATTATAATTTAATTTAGATTCAATAATGAAGTAATTTATATTTGGTTTAATAATATAATTTTCTTATAAAGATAATAAAAATAATTTTGTTAGAACTCGATAATTATAATAATTATATTTTAATTTTTTTTATATTTTAAAATGAGATGTTTATCCTCCATTTGATTATGTTTATCCGCAGTTAGTTACACAAATTCAAACATGAAGCTTTAATAAATTGTACTTATACATAATTTACTTGTAATATTAAATTTTAAGTAATATGTATCAATATACAGTACTTCATGCTTAAAAAATGGTTTTTAAGAGTTTTTGTTAAATGTTTTATAATATAGTGTATATATATATATATATATATATATATATGTTATTCTACAACCTTTGTCATTCCTACACCCTATACAACCCTCATCTCAACCATTCAATTTTTAATCAATTAATTGTTTCTTAATATAAAGTATTAATCATAATTAATAAACTCTATTCATATTCCATAAATATTCAAATCATAATAAATGAACTCCAATCATTTCTATAAATATCTTAATTAATTGGGTTGCAAAGGTTGTACAAATGCATAAGGTTGTAAAAAAAATATACCATATATATATATATATATATATATATGACGTTTCAAATATAACTCATCACATTTGTACAAACAATGCAACCCAATTAATTGAGATATATATATATATATAAATAAAAGAGTTCATTTATTATGATTTGAATATTTATAGAAGATTATTAGGGTTTTTAATTATGATCAGTATTTTATATTAGGAAACAATCAAATTTTTATGAGATCACATATTCATCAAATTAAATAAACGGTTAAGATTGAGTTGTATTAGTTGTTTAAATGTAAATAGTTGCATAATAACACATCTCTCTCTCTCTCTCTCTCTCTATATATATATATATATATACACACACACATACACACACACACACACACATATATATATATATATAACTAGAAGTGTATTCACGCATTATAGCGAGACATATTTCGATTTTAATGTTTCGTTTTAATTTTTTGGTCTCTGTCAATGTTATAATAAGGTTTTATGTGGTTTTGAGCAAACATTAATGTTTTTTTTAATAAAATACAAATTTGAAGATATCATAAAAATGAAAAAAATAAATAAAAAGTTTTCATTTTTCTATGTAATTTATTTAATTCAAAATTTTATTATAATTTACTTTAGATTTAATAATGAAATAATTTATTTTTAGTTTAATAATATAATATTTTACAAAGATAATAACTAAGTATTTTGTTAGAACTCAATAATTATTCTAATTATATTTTCGATTTTATGTTTAAAATGAGAAGTTTATCTTGTATTTAGTTATATTTATCTGCATTTAGTTACACAAATTCAAACATGAAGCTTTAATAAGTTGGACTTACGCACAATTTACTTGTAATTTTGAATTTTAAGTAATATGCATCACTAAACAGTATTCATGCATGAAAATGGTTTTTAAGAGTTTTTGTCAAATATTTTATAATATAGTATAAATATGAAGGATCGTATGCGAATAAAAGTTAATGTGAGAAACGTAAGAAATGATTGGAGTCTTGATCACCTTTAATCTCAAACTTACTCATGAATCACGTTTATAACGGGATTGATCCTTTTTTACGCTTTTCACTTTGATTTTCTTTCTCACACGATCATTCGCCTATATTATATATACTTATCAGATTTCTCAATTTATTATTATATTTATTATATATCTATAGTATATTATAAAATATTTGACAAAAATTCTTAAAAACCATTTGTTATGCACGAAGTACTGTTTATTGATGTATATTACTTAAAATTTAAGATTACAAGTAAATTGTGCATAATTACAACTTATTAAAGCTCCATATATTAATTTGTGTAACTAACTGTAGATAAACATAATCAAATATTGGATAAACATCTTATTTTAAATATAAAAAGATTAAAAATATAATTAAGATAATCATTGAGTTATAACTGAATACTTAGTTATTATCTTTATAATAAAATATATTATTAAACCTAAATTAAATAACTTCGTTACTAAACCTAAATTAAATCTATACTATATCATAAAACATTTAGCTAAAACTCTTAAAACTCTTAAAACTTTTAAAACTCTTAAAAACTATTAAACTCGTTCATCCCTAAACGATTTCATCCCTATCCGATTTCATCTCATATCTGAATTCGTGTAACTAACTGCAGATAAATACAATCAAATACAGGATAAACTTCTCATTTTAAATATAAAAAATCTAAAATATAATTAGTATAATCATTAAATTCTAACAGAATACTTAATTATTATCTTTATAAAATTTATAATATTAAACCAAAAATAATTTGTTTTATTATTAAACTTAAATTAAATTATCTATCTATCTATACTATATATAAAGCATTTGGCTCATTTTCTTAAAAACAAATTATCATGCATAAGGTACAATTAATTTGTGCACATTACTTAAAAATCAAAAATACAAGTTAATTATGCATACGTACATGTTTTTAAAGCATACCACTCCCATTGAAATCTTAATCCGTCCCTACAATTTCTCTAATCCAACTAACGTCCCTATAATCCCTCTTTTTCAACAAGTAGATAGTCATTGTCAATTTCATATTTAATGGGTGGTTTTGACTCAATTTTTCTTATAATCACCGTCAATTTTCTTTCCCCAAAGTTCGGTTGATTCTCTTTCAAGGTAAGCTTCAACCTCATGGGTTTCGACCATTGCTTTTGATTGATTTATAGTCTGTATCGATTTTTGTTTCTTTCTTTTTGACTCATTACGTATCGATTCTTTATGGTTTCTTTCTCTGGTTCTTTATCGGTTTAGGTTTATTTCCTTGGAGCTCGATTGCTTCTCATCCCCAAATTTTGATTCCTTCTCTTTCAAGGTAACCTTCAACCTTATGGGTGACTGTATTGATTGAYCATTGTTTGATTGATTTATGATTTGTACTGATTTAAATAGAATTGTTTTTGATCTATTATGTTATGGAACACAAAGTTCACATAAATCATTTGATAAAAACTCTTAAAAACTATTTTTAATGCATAAAGTACTGTTTGTTGATGCATATTATTTAAAATTCAAGATCACAAGTAAATTGTGCGTAAATACAACTTATTAAAACTTCATTTTTGAATTTGTGTATCTAACTATAGATAAACATAATCAAATATGAGATAGACATCTCATTTTGAATATAAAAAATCTAAAATA